ATAATCTCGGAATATATATTTATTTATTTACTAGATAAAAATTAAGAAAAATAAATAAATTATATAAGATTTGAAGTTAGTTTTTATCAAGAAATCCTAATTATATTAGGAATGTTATTTCTTTTAATGAAAAAAAAACTGGCCATTTTTTTTAATTTTTCTTCTTCTTTTTTTTCTTTTCTGCACTTTTTGTTTTATTTTAAATTGTGTGTGTATATATATATATATATATATATATATATATATATATATATATATATATTATTATTATTATTATTATTATTATTATTATTATTTTCTGCGAAATTTGTTTCTCTCCTTTTTTTTAATTTTATCATTATTTTTATTTTATTATTATTTTATATATTTTGTCTTCTTCTCCTTTTTTTAAAAATAATTTTTGTTACTTTTTTTTACATTTTTTTTCATTCTTTTTTTTTTAATTTCTTGTTTTATATTTTTTTCATTTCTGCTTCTCTCTTCTTCTTCTTTTTTTTTTTTGAATTTTTCCTTTTTCACATTATCTTCGTTTTTTAAAAAATTTTCTTTTATGTTTCTTTTTTGTTTTAAAATTTTTTTTGTTATTTTTTCCTTTTTTTTCGCTGTTTTTTGTTTTTTTATATTCTTTCTAGTTTTTTTTATTCTTTTGTTCTCTTAATACAAAGACTCAAATTTTACTTTTTTTTATATTATAATTATTAATAGTAATTATCACTATTTTATCATGAATCTTTTGATGAAATTTACAATTCTACATAGATAAAAAAAATTACTAATTATTTATATATCCTAATCTAATAAGTCTATCAATTTATTTATTTATTTTTTTAGTGAAAAACTAGGCTCCTAAAAAAACATTAACTATTCAATTACAAAATCAATTTTAATATAAATAGCATCTAAAAGTTTAGAAAATAATAATAATAATAATAATACAAAAAGGTATGATACATATTTTATTTCATAATATTTTTTAGCAAAAAACATTTTTGATTCCGTTTTGCTGAGCATTCATAAATTCAAAAAATATTTTAAAAAAATTAAAAAAAATCACAACATGCATCACATATTGATACTATTCCAAAAAAAAAAGTTCATATTATTACTATAAGCATCAAATTTTCATACAACATTCCATTTAAATAATTCGTGAATTTAGAGTTACCTCGATGCGATAATGGATACCACAAAAACAATTGCAACGATCTATTGATTTTCAAAGTTAATTATTGTTAATTAACTTTAAAGAGCCGCAAGACCGAAATCGCGAATAAAACCTTAGATTATAACTTAATTTTAAAGATAAAACTCACTTTTCACTCTTTTCTCTTTGATATCGTACTTTTTTTGTAATATTCTCTGTGTTTTTCAATTTCAGTCTCTGTGTGTTCTCTATCTCTCTCCGTATTGTTTCAACTGAACGTGTCTTTTCATAATATTTTTTGGTGAGAGTCTGCTGCTAATTAAAAGGAACGTAATAGAGTGAAATTAGGATTTATTTTGAAATATTGCTGAGGGAATTGGGGTTTAGATAAGAATATAAAATAAATAAATAATAATAATAGCAAATTAACAAAATAAAAAAAATGTGTGAAGTTTTTAAAAAAACGTCCGAAAAGAAAAAAAATAAAAAAATAAATAAATGAGATGAGATTTTTTAGAAAAATAAGTTAGGAAGTTGAGAATAATTAGGATAAGGTAAAACAAATTTGAAATCTTTAGGACTCCTCTTTTCTTTTTTTTTCTATACTTTTTCATAATATTTTCTATCTTATTATTATAATTTTTAGACTAGAGAATTAACAAATAACTTAAATTCCCAACTTCTATTTATCAATTTTTTTTATTATGAAACTATAATTGATCTTATAATTTTTATTAATTTATAATTTATTATTATTATTATTATTTTATTTTAAATATAACCCTTTTTAAATTGGTGTAAAATATATTATGTTTTGGTAAAAAATTAGGTATTCAGAGTATGCCTCTCTTTGTTTGAAAACATGAAGAGTTTTCATGCAAAGACGTGAACAATGTTACTAATTTTTTTACTGAAATATTTATGGAAAAAATTTGAAAAATTTATAATAGAGAAGAGGTTTGACTGTGTCCTAACTTTTTTAAAAACTACCTATCCTATGTTGAAGATAAGGAGTCAGGCGTAGTTCCAATGAGTTAGGTAGTCGAGTGAGATTTTGTCGAGATCCCAGTTCGTAACTCCAACTATTACATAAAAAAACAAATTGCAGAAGGAAAGATATAAAATCCTATCTATTCCGATAGTGCTAAGTCTTCATTTTGAATTCTCAAATATGGCTTCATCCTCTTTGGTAGGTTCATCGATTCCGAACTTTGCTTAGGACAGCTGAATTTAAGACTTGAAACTTCCTGACTTGACTTCAGCTACTGACGTTCTTCCGCATGATATTCTTGAAAACTTCTTTTCTTCAAAAGATGAATTCTTTTATTTTTCAACTGCAAATTTGTGTATTATGTAGAAACCTGCACACAAAACAAAATTTTCTGCGTGGTTTGCACAAGGAAATTTTGTGAGTTATTTATGAAAGCTATAAAATTCTATACTAATAATAAAAATAATGTTTTGGTAGCCTATTACAAAATGTAAAAAAAATAATACAAAAAGGAGTTTTATACCCAAATTGCAATCATGGGTTATTTTGTCCTATGAAGACATTAAAAATAAAATAGGGGTTATTGTGCCTTATATGCAACCAGGGGTTATTGTGCCTTGTGAAAACAGGAGAAATAAAATAGGGGTCATTGTGTCCTATATGCAATCCAGGGGTTATTGTGCCCTCTGAACACATGAAAAATAAAATAGTGGTTATTGTGCCCTATATGGAACCAGGGGTTATTGTGCCCTGTGAAGAAAAATGATAGGGGTTATTGTGCCCTATATGCAATCAAGGGGTTATTGTGCCCTCTGAAGACATAAAAAACAAAATAGGGGTTATTGTGCCCTATATGCAACCAGGGGTAATTGTGTCCTGTGAAAACATAAATAAAAAATAGGGGTTATTGTGCCCTATATGCAATCCAGGGGTTATTATTCACTCTGAAGACAAGAAAAAATAAAATAGGGGTTATTGTGCCCTATATGAAACCAGGGGTTATTGTACCCTATGAAGAAAAATGATCGGGGTTATTGTGCCCTATATGCAATCAAGGGGTTATTGTGCCCTCTGAAGACATTAAAAAATAAAATAGGGGTTTTTGTGCCCTATATGCAACCAGGGGTTATTGTGCCGTGTGAATACATAAAAAAACGATAGGAGTTATTGTGCCCTATATGAAACCAGGGGTTATTGTTCCTTGTGAAGAAATAAAAAAAATGATAGGGGTTATTTTGCCCTATATGCAACCAGGGGTTATTGTGCCCTATGAAGACATAAAAAAATTGATAGGGGTTATTGTGCCCTATATGCAATCCAGGGGTTATTGTGTCCTGTGAAGACAGGAAAAACAGGATAGAGGTTATTGTGCCCTATATGCAACCAAGGGTTATTGTGCCCTGTCAAGACATGAAAAGTATAATAAGAATTATTATGCCCTATGAAGACATGATTATATACAGACACACACACACACACACACACACACTTCTTCTTTTCACGTATATTATTATCATGATTAATATTATTATTCATCGTTATTTTATTTTATTTTTATTTCTACATTGAACAAACTAAAAATAAAATAAAATACCCCATATTAAATTAAAAATCATTTTTATTGTTATAATTATTTTTATCATGCATATTATATGAAAAGTAAGGATTCAAGACCTTACCACCGTGCCGTTTGTCTGTAGCAAACTATTTATATGACTCTGCCTTATACCTGTTTTAAGTCAAATAAATGTATTGTTAATTTTTCTAAATGGTGGTTGGTTCGTGACTTTGAGTATCTTGTAAAGCTTGACTTCTAGATCCGCCTGCTTGAAAGATTCATCCCATTAATGATTGTGTGAATATCTTATAGATGTTTTAAAAACAGTCCTTATCTTTCATTCTGTGAATATCTTGTAGATATTTTAAATACAGTCCTTATCTTTCCTTCAAACACTTTTCATGGACATTCTAACTCATTACCATTTTGTGTATGTTGTGTGGTTCATTCGTTCCCAAGCAACTCTTTTGCTTTATTTATTTTCACACGGTATCGATTTATGATATTTATTTTCTCGATAGGTTCACAGACCAGCCAATATTGTGCATGTCCCCAACATTCAACTGGAAATACCGTAGTCAATTTTGCAGATTTAATATTATTTTCTCACTTGACACGAGTTGATGCTGAGAAAGAAAAATAAAATATCAAAGAAACACAAGCACAAATGACACTAATGAAAGGGTTATGAAGGAAAAATTGTTTCTTTAGAAGTAGTAGATAAATAAGAAAATGTTTAAATGAGTGAAAAGAATATTATCTAAAAGTACGTGACAACTTTGAAACATGACATGCAATTGGACCATACGTTTGATCTTTTTCAAGTTGTCTGAATCTCAGGAAACAATATTGCACCTTTCAGTCTAACCTTGATTTTTATCATGATTGCTCTCATGTCAAGACAAAATGTAATCACTCGATCAGCAGCGCCTTTCATGATTTTTCACCAATATAACATTCTAATCTTTGTCACTAAACTAACCATCGTCTTATAGTGCCCGTAAGGGTTTTCACTCACAATACTTAATTTTCTCCCATTGTTCGCCTACATAATGTCTCAACCTTTAGAGAACTGAAGAACGTGATTATCTTTTTATTGAGTGATTATACCGAACCCTAACGAAGGGCTTCCTACGTATCCTTTTAGGAATCAGGTCAAACGTAGTTCAATGAACTTTTCGTTTTTTTTTTCATTTTTTTAATTTAACTTTTTTTTTAAAAAAAGCACTACACCAGTGGTGTTTGAGATAAAAGAGGATGGATACATTTTTATCTTCTCATCATAAAAATGACAGGAAGTGCTAAACCTAGTATCTCTTGATCGAATCTACATTGACAATCGTATCAATTTCCTTTCCCTCCATATCCGCCAATTGCAAAGCTCCTTTGGATAACACTTGCTTAATAACATAAGGTCCTTTCCAATTTGGAGCAAACTTTCCCTTGGCCTCTTTTTGGTGGGGAAGGATACGTTTCACAACAAGTTGAACCACTTCAAAATTTCTTGGGCGTACTTTTTTATTATATGCCCGAGCCATCCTCTGCTGGTATAATTGACCAAAACAAATTGATATCAATCGTTTTTCTTCTATCAATACTAATTGTTCTAACCTCGATTTAACCCATTTTGTATCCCCAATTTCTGCTTCAACAATGGTTCGAAGAGAAGGGATTTCAACTTCTGCGGGTATGACAAGCTCAGTTCCGTAAACCAATAAGTAAGGAGTTGCACCGACTGACGTACGAACAGTCGTGCGATATCACATGAGAGCGACGGGTAATTTCTCATGCCACTGTCTAGATCCTTGCACCATTTTCCTAAGAATCTTCTTGATGTTCTTACTCGCAGCTTCAATAGCCCCATTTGCTTTGGGACGATCAGGGGTTGAATGACGATGAACAATTTTAAGTTGCTCACAAAGTTCCTTCATCAAGTGGCTGTTGAGATTCATTGCATTGTCTGTAATAATAATTTTTGGTATGCCAAAACGACATATGATGTTGGAATGAACGAAGTCCACCACCGCTTTCTTGGTAACTGATTTGAAGGTGACAACTTCTACCCATTTGGTAAAGTAATCGATGGCAGCTAAAATAAACCGATGACCATTAGATGCTTTTGGCTCTGTTGGCCTAATAACGTCTATTCCCCATGTAATAAAAGGCCATGGAGCAGACATAGGATGCAACTCTAAAGGGGTTTGAGTGAATCAAGTCGCTATGAATTTGGCACTGATGACACTTGCGAACAAATTGGAAGCAATCTCGCTCCATGGTCAATCAATAGCATCCTGCCTGAATAATCTTTTTTGCTAGGACGTAACCATTCATGTGTGGGACACATACCCCTGATTGTACCTTATTCATAATTGTATCCGCCTTTTGATTATTCACACATCGTAATAAATTCAAATTCAGAGTCCTTTTATATAAGATATCGCCACTTAAGAGGAACCCATTGGCGAGTCGCCTAATAGTTCTTTTTTTATCTCTATCAGCATGCAGTGGATATTCTCTAGCTTTTATAAACTGTTTGATGTCGTGATATTAAGGCTCACCATCTGCCTCTACCACAATTATATTGCAATAACCATGTTGATCCCTAACTTGAATTTCCAACGGGTCAATGTAGGTATTACATGGGTATGGAAGCATCTATGCTAGGGTGGCCAAAGCATCAACCAAGTCATTGTGAAACCTGGGATTATATCTAAATTCAATGGACTTGAACTTTTTGATGAGATCTTCTAAACATTGTTTGTACGGTATGAGCTTAATGTCTCGAGTTTCCGATTCGCCTCGAATTTGTCTAATAAGCAAGTCGGAATCCCCCAAGACTAAGAGCTCATGTACATCCAGATTTATTGCTATATTTAAACCCATGATGTAAGCTTCGTATTCTGTTGTGTTTTTGGTAGAAAAGAATCAAAGTCGTGATGTGGCAGGATAATGACAACCGTTTGGTGAGATAAGAACTTCCCCAATTCCCACTCCATTTTTGTTGAAAGCCCCATTAAAATATAATTTCCATATGGGGTCATTATCAAGAATTTCTTCCTCGATAGAGTTGATCTCTTCATCAGGGAAGTATGTCTTTAAAGGTTCGTATTCATCATCAATCGGATTCTCTGCCAGATGATCGGCCAACGCTTATGTCTTCATGGCGGTGCGAGTAACATACATAAAATCAAATTCGATTTGCAAAATTTGCCATTTTTTCAACCTACCCGTCGGCGTGGCTTTTTGAAAAATATGTTTCAGAGGATCCATTCGAGATATGAGGTAAGTGGTGTAGGATAAAAAATAGTGCTTCAATTTTTGGGTGACCTAAGTTAAAGCACAACATGTTATTTCTAATAGAGTGTACTTTGCCTCATAGGATGTGAAGTTTTTGCTCAAGTAATAGACGACTTGTTTCTTTTTCCCCGTGACGTCATGTTGTCCTAGAACACAACCAAAGGAATTATCCGTCATCAAGAGGTATAAAAACAAAGGCCTACCAGGCTCTGGTGGACCAGTACCGGAGTACTTGCTAAATATTCCTTAATTTTGTCAAAAGCCTTTTGACACTCATTTGTCCATTTAATAGTAGCATATTTTTTCAATAAATTGAATATCGGCTCACATGTAGTAGTGAGTTGAGCGATGAATCGGGTGATATAGTTTAACCTTCCTAATAAACTCATGCCTTCAGTTCTGGTTTTTAAAGGTTGCAATTCTCGAATGGACTTTATCTTGGAGGGGTCTAAATTAATGCCTCTTAGGCTAACTATAAAACCCAAAATCTTGCCAGATGGAACTCCAATTGCACATTTAGCCGGATTAAGCTTGAGATTATACTTTCTCAATCTTTCGAAAAAATTTCTTAGACACACACATGGTCAATTTGCGTTCTAGACTTAATGTTGACATCATCGACATATACCTCAACTTCTTTATGCATCATGTCATGGAAGCCAAATAAGGAGCATACTTTAATAATTTAGTGAATTTCAAGGAGTATTCAAACACATTGATATCTCCTAGATAAAGGTTGATGAACTCCACACTTTAGTTCCCCGCTTTCTCTAGGAAAGAATCTATCAAGAAAAGCCTTCCTTAAAATCCCCCATGACACCGGTCCACCTCTTAAGGGGGATTCATCCTAGTGAATTCCTTCAAACGGGAGGCTATAGTACAAACTTGTTGGTTTTCTCGGGGTACAACCTCCCGATTAGCTTGTGCTTGAGTAGTAACGGCTTGGTCCATTTGGAGTAAAGCAGCACTTATGACACCATCGGTCAAATGAGGAGGATCGACTGGAGCTTGGTCATCGTTAACATCTTGTTCAAGAGGAGGGACTTGATTGCCTTGGGGAGTAGCTCCCACATCGGCAATCTCTTCATCAAGTCTTTGAGTGTCTTATTGTTCGAGTATTCATTTCATATAGATGCTAAAAGCACATAGAGTTCAAGGATCTAAAGGCACAATATTGGATTTCCATGAAAGTGAGAGTTTCCTAATCATCACATAGGTTCCTATTCATAAGTGTCAAACGCTTCACAATTATAAGTAAGAATCTATATAGACGTGGTTGAAAGAGACATCGACTCAAAAATATTCAACCTCATGCTTTGATACCTAGTTTGTGACATGTGGGGAGCACCCCCTAGACGTAACCGGCGTCGTCGTCCTCTTTGAGGACTAATACTAGCCTCTTAGATTACATTCATAGGTCAAAATGCGAAAAATTTAAAGATTTTCATTACTTTTACATGAGGTTTACATACACCTCTACATAAACATAATATTCATATTGAGTATACATAGACCCTTCGTATAGGAATATTACATATTCTTCTACTTTTATTTCACATAGATATATACAATATAACATAGTCTTAAATTGATGTCTCATCTCATAACGATCTAAGAAAAGTATAACAATTTGGGCCTAGACTATACATCAATTTAATAAAGCCACATAAAGGCTATACAATCTTAGTACTCAAATGAAAAAGAAAGAACAAAACAAGTTCATAACCTTGATATTGGAATTGCCCTCGCAAAGTTAGTACTTACCCAACATGGATGAATGAGAATTCCAAGTCTTCCTTCAAAGTCGTCTAAAAAACCCTTGAACGATCGGAACCTAAAATGCTAGTGAAAAAGGGAGAAAATGGTGTTAGCACACCACCTTTACTAAGTATGAGACCATATGCACACATACCATGAAATCATGCTAAAAAGGGACAATTCATTAGAGTATGCAATTTACTTTGAAAATCCTTATGCACAATCAAGAAGACCATACCAATCAATAAGATATATTCATTAAGTCAAAATAATGTACATCACAAGACCAACAATACTAAGTATAAGACAACTTTATCATCAACTTATAATAACAACAAGATTGGATAAGAGTTCATGACAACATTTCCAAAGCAAGAAAATTAACAATGAACCCTCATTAAGTCCACTAGTGTAACGACTAGGCGAGGCCCCATAACCTTACCCAATCAAGTAAACCTAAGAAGAACCGTAACCAGATTCCATCTTCACTTATTATATCATTAAGACTACATATCATTATACTTTAGCACTGGAGACCAATACATGTTTATAAGTGAAACGAATTATCATATAGTATGATCAATGCGCAAGATCATCACATACATATCATATACAAATACAAACATATACATATACAAATATAAGAACATCCTTCTAAGACATCCCTCTAGGCTAACTAGTGAAATGTTTAGGTAGAGTCTCATAACCCTACCTAGACTAGGCTAAACCCCTTAGGTTATCCTAGTTAGAGTTCATTCCTTTAATTCATTTTACCCTTCTGGTAACATCTTTCATTAAACGACATAGAACACATGAGATAATGTGGAATCCGGTGTCATGAAACCCTAAACCGAAGGAAGGCGGAATAGTTGCCAAGGTAGTACCAAAACATGAACATAGAAACTACGTCGATCCACTAGCTACTATTCCTATGGGGGCAACATATTTCATGAACCAGGAGATATAGTTGTGACCCTCTTTATGATACATGCATTATATTGTCGAATGTCACGAGTACATTAGTGATCTTACCTACCCTATGTGGGAAGGGACGCTCCTCACACTAGTTAACTCGGGGCTAAGCTAGAGTTCATTTTGAAATATCTCTAATGTCTTTATTAATTATCATAACTTAATATAGGTCATACGGTATATCCCTAGTAATATAATCATCATCATATCTCAATAAGAATTGCATGAGTATTGTCCTTTCATTACAATTCATATGAGTGGAGTTAGCATATTACATAATCATTCATGATAAGTAGGAACATTAGTAGTTATCACCGTCCTTATAACATTTACATCTTAGCCAACACCACAAAAAATAACCAACATTATAACAAATGAAATTAAATCATTATACAACAACTCATCACTAGTTCATAACCTAGAATTAGAGACATAAATCAAGTTCATAATCTACTTCAGCATCTAGGTCAATTACTCAAGAACTAGCATAAATGAATTACAATGTATAAAACCTACTCATAATTAGCATAATAACAACATAGGATAATAATTCACACACACTAATTAAGTCAATTAAATCAATCCTGCACTACCCAATTCAAGGTCACAACTTAGTATTAAGGGGAATAGGTCATCTTCTACAAACTAGACTGATCCATCAAGAAATTACATAGTTGATTTATAATACATGTTAATATATTCATAATATCCAAAATAAATCATAAAAAAAGCAATTCAGAAAATCAATTTCGACAATGGGAAAGACCCACATGGAAACTCATCTTTTGAAATCAATTCGAAGGAACCTTTTGGGGAAAGAAGTCCCAAAGGTGAAAGGAATCCAATAACTTAGTATTTGATGAATATTGATGAAGAAAATTTGGTTATTGCAGCACTAGAACCCCTTAAATTTTACCTTCTATGGTGATCTTCAACTTGGGAGAGAGAAAGAAGAGAGACGGAGGAGAATTTGGGTTTGGCAATTATGAGAGTTAGGTTAGTCTAATTAGGTTAGAGTCTTTACATATGTTGTTAATTAAATTAATTATACCTTTATTAAACCCTAAATAATTAAATAACCCCTAAATTAATTAACTCAAGTCACTCAAAATCGAGCAGCCAAAACAAACCCTCACATATGGGACCACGATAA